CTTAACATTTTAGATTGTGGCTTATAGGCTGCTACGTACAATTTGAGAACATTTTTTAGAAAGCTTCATAAAAATGAATGGCCGCCACCATTTGCCGCCACCTAAAAATGTTTCTTGCCAACACAAGTTTATTGTGAAAATGTGATCATTAGTTCTGTGTTTGAGTAGATGAAAATACCGGGAACGAACATAAATAATTAGAAATGCCTTACACAAAACTAAATTCAAAATTCACTGATATTATCAAAAATTTTTTCTCTCTAGCAAACATAAAGTTTAAAAATCGCCAGAAAAATGTGGTTTTTGTATCTCGTTATTTCTTAAATCCATATCATCTTTCCGGATTCCTTTATCTCAAATTCATTAATATCCACTTTGTAAATATTTTGTTTTCTTTAATTCCAACCGAGCTTATTGTTTACTCCTCTGTCTGCAATATGCTTCATAATGGCCAAAAATATTTTTGCTATGCTGCCCAGTTTTTGGTGAAGGAAGATACCTCGAGATAGATGTAATGATGGTATTCATAATGAAGTTGTTCTATCCAGCGTGATTTTATGCTGCATAAGTTAATGAGTAATTTCCATTATTTTATTTGGTGAACTCTCAATACTTTGCCCCGCATAGTTAAAAATTAATGCTAAAACTTTAAAAATTATTATTGATTGCTTGTTAATTAATTAATCTTTGCTATTTTTAATGCCATATGCTACTATTTGTATTTTTGAAATAACAGGCTTATTTTTGTTGAGGGTAACGGCAGATATAATAATTGGATGTATAAATATATGGTAATTGTATTTAATTCAGAATACGCTAATTGGTTGAAATCTAAATAAATCACCATTTTTATTTTATATAAGGGTTATCCATATTTATTTCATAGGTATCTAATTCCTCATCCACTTTATCATGCCTTTGAAGGCTTTCAAATCTGTTTTGATAAAAAAGATGCCCACATTGATTGACGTGTTATTGCGGATCACAACGTAGAAAATTCCTTTTAGTAATATTATAATGGTTTTCCTATATCATTGTGATTTTTTAAAATTATTTTAGTAATAATGGTATTTTTTTAAATGATTTTGTTTTTCAGTACAAATAAATTCTAAGCACCAAATGATTCAAATCCACGATTTAATTAAGATATTAATAATAAATGTAGGCTACGAATGAACAACTACTTATTACCCAAATGGAGAGCCATCTATTGGGCATTACTGGAATTAATTTATGCGAAACCCCATTATTTTAAGTGTGTTAGTGCTTCCTACGTTGTTCTATTCTTCATTGCGGAAAAATGGATATTTCAAAAGTTACAACCACCTCATTAAAAAAGGATTACCATTGGTCCAACTGAGATTGGACGTCTTGAGGCTATTGTAATTTGGAACAAACATACCTAACAGCCGCATATATGTAGGTTAATACTGGTTTAGCTAAAATATTTTAACTAAACCAGGACACAACAATTAAGTTAAACAATGATAAAATTATTCCTATTTGAGGTTATAGGCTTCATAGTTTCCTACAATTCTGTAATAAAGATAATGCTTATAAACTAATTTGTTTTCTGAAACAAATTTTAAAACTGCTTATTAATCGCACAGACATAATTTAGGAAAAACAATGTGTTCTATTTACTGTATTATATTTTCTTACTTACAGACATCACATCTTCTTCTTTAACTGAATATCCAAAATTCCTGTCGCTAAAAACAACCAAAATAATGGTTAAACATAGAATTTTTTTATATAAAATTCAACTATATATAATAGTAATAACACTGCATGAAACAGTGTTATACAATAGTATATTTAATACTATACAAACGAGGCATGTTAGGAAAATCACAGAAGGATGGGGTGAATTACAGAGAATTTAACTCATAACGGTAGCTAATTGTTTATTATGTTATATTTTATTGTCATTTCCGCACACTGAATCTGAATCAAAGTGACTCAATTCAAATAATTGGCCTTATAAAAGACTTACTTGAAACTCATGTTAAACCTTTTAAATAAGCTTCCTTTTTTTAAATTATTAAAAAAATATCATCTGTTAATTACTATAGATTGCAACAATTCGTCATCAAAAAAAAATTAATATTCTAGTGGCTCAAATTAATTTTGATATTTTGACATGTGTAGGCAGGAATTCTTAAAGCTGCAAAAGAGTAATTTTGTTTCTGTTAACAATTCGTTTCTGTTGACTCTGAAAAACTTGTTAGAGCAAAGCGATTTAATTCAAAAGAAAAATATAAAGTTTCCTTGTAAGAATAATGATTTCCATACGTCACAAAAATAGTTATGGTGGCCCTGATTTAGTTAGTTTTCACCAACAGGTAAATTTTATTAATGTTATCTTAATTAAATTTCATGCTTTATTTATTATTTATCCATTCAATCAAATAGGTTATGTTAATGAGAAAGTAAATGACAAAAATGGCTTTTTCAAGCAGGATATTTATGTGTGTTTGTATACAAGTAATGTAATAACCATTAGCCAATATGATTATATTGGCACTACCCAATTACAGAAAATAAAGCTTTAGTTTCGATAAATTTTACTAAGAAAAAAATATCTGTAGGAATTAAAGTTTTCCTATTTTAAATCATTTAAGTTGGATAAAGAAAGCAATGATTCATATCCAAGAATTCTCAATAATTTTTTTCAGCTTTTTTTCTAATTTATATACACTGAAGTGACAAAAGTCATGGGATAGCAATATGCAAATTTTCAGATGGCAGTAGCATCGCGTAGAACAGGTATAAATGCGCAGTGCTTTCGCAGAGCTTTCATTTCTGTTCAAGTTATTCATGTGAAGAGGTTTTGACGTGATGATGACCGCACGACGGGAATTAACAGACTTTGAACGAGGAATGTTAGTTGGAGCTAGACGCATGGGTCATGCCATTTCGGAAATCGTTAGGGAATTCAACATTCCCAGATCCACTGTGTAAAGTTGTGCCGAGTATGAAATTTCAGGCATAGCATCCCACCATGGACAGCGCAGTGGTCGACCGCCTGCACTTAACGACCGAGACCGCCGACGTCTGCAAAGAGTCGTAAATTCTAACAGACAAGCAACACTGCGTCAAATAACCGCAGAAATCAATGTGGGACGTACAAGGGACTTGTCTGTTAGAACTGTGCGGAGAAATTTGGCTTTCTTGGGCTATTCCAGCAGAAGACCAACTCGAGTGCCTTTACTGACAGAACGACATCGCTTGCAGCGACTCTCGTGGGCACGTGAGCATATCGGTTGGTCCCTAGATGAATGGAAAACCGTGGCCTGGTCCGATGAGTCACGATTTCAGTTGGTAAGAGCTGATGGTAGGGTTCGAGTGTGGCGCAGACCCCACGAAGCCATGGACACAAACTGTCAGCAAGGCACTGTTCAAGCTGGTGGTGGCTCCGTAATGGTGTGAGCTGTTTTTTTATGGCATGGACTTGGTCCTCTGGTGCGACTGGACCGAACATTGACTGGAAATGCTTATGTTCAGCTACTTGGAGATCACTTGCAGCCATTCATGGACTTCATGTACCCAAACAACGATGGGATTTTTATGGATGACAATGCGCCATGTCACCGGGCCACAACTGTTCGCGATTGGTTTGAAGAACATTCTGGACAATTCCAACGAATGATCTGGCCACCTAGATCGCCAGACATGAATCCCATCGAGCATTTATGGGACATCATCGAGAGGTCTGTTCGTGCCCAAAATCCTGCACCATCAACGCTTTCACAATTATGGACGTCTATCGAGACAGCATGGCTCAATATTCCTGCAGAAGACTTCCAACGACTTGTTGAGTCCATGCCACGTCGAAATGCTGCACTTCGCCGGGCGAAAGGAGGGCCGACACGATATTAAGAGGTATCAAATGACTTTTGTCACTTCAGTGTATATATATATATATATATATAACACATAGATACAATTTTTTATTTATTTATTTTCTGTCTATCTGGTAGGTAGGCGAAGAAAACATGAAAAAAAATTTTGTTAGTCATTTTTTAGTTAAATAAAAATATTTATTTTTGTAGCTAAAATTGAGCTTTCAAATTATTTATTTGTTTGCTTTCTTCAAAATTTTCTTAATATGCACAAAAGTAAATACAAATAATTCATTTATTGAATAGACGAATTTGTTCAAACTAAAATACAGAAATGCGCATTTTTTCTCACAAAATTTACAGTATTTTATGAATAATTGAAAATTACGAAAATTTTGGAAGTATTTTAAATTAAATAAAACTATAATTTTTAAATTTAGTTTATTGAGGAATTAAAATTAAGTTTTTAAATACTGATAATTGAAAAATTGTTTGCTTTCATTAATAAATAATATTAATAATATATGATTAAAAATTATATATATATTTTTTTGAAATATTCTCTAAATTAACGTGGTAAGGTTTCTGTTCATTTTTAATATTTTTTAATATTTTTTAATCCGTTTCAAATATTGTTCGTTTTATATGCTTAATTTTTTTTTCATTCTAAATTTTTCTTACTTATTTTTGCCCTATTTTATTTTTATCAAAATAGAATAAATAAATAATGTTCCAAATGAAGAAGGTCGATAAATATTTAAGAAACAATATAAAAGGCTGATATCAATAAATATTGACAAACCCTGCTTTAAATCCTCAGTCATTTAAATAACCATATAATAAATCAGAATACTTATGTTGTTGTTGTTGTTTCTTATCCCACTTGGCTGGCCAAGCCCACGAGCCCATGCGTACTCATGATTGAAGGGGAAGGAAGCAGCTTCTGTTGTGATGGAGCACCCGCAGATAGAAGTCTGACTTTGGCTCCGTGACGCTCTTACAGTCATAGGAGACCGAGACCTACGGCTTAAAGTGGATTCCGAACCACTACACACATCCATGGCACCGCCGGGATTCGAACCCGAAACCTGTGGTACCGAGCGCCAGAGCGCTAGACACTGGGCCATTCAGGTCCCAAATTTCCAACGGCATAAAAGGTGGTCACCCACCCAAGTACTGACCGCGCCCAATGATGCTTGACTTCGGTGATCTAACGAGAACCGGTATATTCAGCATGGTACGGCCGTTGGCTAGAATACTTATTGTTATCATATACCAAAAATGTCCCAAATTTAAAAAAAATATAAATAGGATTTATTCGTTAAATTATTTGAAATTTTGCATTTATATAAAACAGTCAATGTAACCCAAATGAAAATGACCAAAAGGACATCGCAACATTAAGTTCATTCATGCTCATCGAGTTTGTTAGGTGGTGAAGCATTCCGTAAATTTTTATTTGATATTTTATATTGAAGAAGGCCTGAAAATGTTCTGTACTCACTCTTTCAGACATTTATTTTCATTGAAATTTTTTGCATAATTAAATATTATGGAAAAATCTTGCCATTATCTTCAATTGCAATAATACAATCTCTTAAATCATCCATCGTTACATGATTGCATGTTCTGTTCTATTATATAAACGATATACAGGAAATTTAAAAATGTTTTTTTTTTTCATAAAAGTAACCTTAGAAAAAGAATTATTCTGTACTCAAGTTGAAGTTGCCAATGATCTGGTAACGATACACTTTCTGGTTTAACAGTAAAATAAACTTAAATGCAAATTATACAGAAATATTATTTTACAATAATATGAACAAAAAAACATAAAACTATATCATATTTCATCATCTTATCACACATAATTGATGTGCTAAACGCTCCAATCTATCTATGAAACTGTGTAAAATAGTGGTTTCACAAAATAAAATAGTATAAAATAGTGTTTTTCAAAAGCATTTGTTGACAAGTTAGTGTACTATTTTAGCAGTGCCCGAATATTATTGTTCATGTATATACCTATAAACATAAAATTATATTATATTTCATCACCATATCACACATAATTGATATGCTAAATGCACCAATTTATCTAAGAAATTGTATACAATACTAGTGTTTTTACATAAAAGCCTTTGTTAAGGAGCTTGACAAGTTAGTACACTATTTTAGAAGTGCTCGGTTATTATTGTTCATGTATATACCTATAAACATAAAATTATATCATATTTCATCACCATATCACTAATTGATATGCTAAATGCACCAATGTATCTAAGAAAATTAATAGAATGCTAGCGCCCTTACATAAAATAATTAGTTATGAAATCTAACAAAACCTAACATAATAGCTTAATGCACTATTTTAGCAATTTTCTAATAACACATATTTTAACAAAATTCTGAAGCCGTCCAAGTCACATTAAAGCATTAACAAACTTGTAGGCTATTTGTACTGAAATGCCACTTATTTATAAGTGCTAGGGATGTACGTTTCTTAAAATATCATACTCACTGGCAGGCTGGACTGCACTTGACGAAACAATGGGTGTAGTTGATTTTGTTCATGCAGTCTTCGGCTTCTGTAAACATGAAATAACGGCTGTTACTATTAAAAAGAGTGAACATAATTACCCTGGTAAATCGTGGCCTATTGCACCGGATTACCACATTCCTAATACTGAATCAAAGTGGGGGAAACATTTTTTTGAAGGGGAGAAACAAAACGATATTTTCTACTTTCGTTTCGTGCATTATAATTTTCTCATCTTAATTTTAACATGAACATAACTAAAGTTAAGGGTTTCGTACATTCATACAACAGAGAGTACACCAGAATTGAATATGGCAAATTTTAAAGGAACGTAAAGCGTACAAGAAATAAATATCTTTATATAGCAATGTATGAGCTCATGTGAACAAGTATTATAAAAAAAAAAAAAAAAAATTTTAAGTCAATTTCTACTTTTTGCACTATATTGCAGAAAGTCTTTTAAAAATAATTTTCATTCATTTTTTTTAAGTTTATCTGGCGCCATCTATTGGTAGACACATGCAACTTAAATCCAAAAAGAAACTAAAATGAATTAATTAAATTTAATGAATGAATTAATATTTGAAAAAACTATATTAACATCCAGTGTCATCCACTACAAGTTCAAAAAATGTATTTGAACTTGAGTGGATGAATAAAAAGTATTTTATGAACGATTGAAAATTTGAACAAGATATATATAGGGAGAGTGTGAGCTAATAGAAGAAATTGAATAAGAGCAAGCATACACTGAAGTGACAAAAGTCATGGGATAGCAATATGCAAATTTTCAGATGGCAGTAGCATCGCGTAGAACAGGTATAAATGCGCAGTGCTTTCGCAGAGCTTTCATTTCTGTTCAAGTTATTCATGTGAAGAGGTTTTAACGTAATGATGACCGCACGACGGGAATTAACAGACTTTGAACGCGGAATGTTAGTTGGAGCTAGACGCATGGGTCATGCCATTTCGGAAATCGTTAGGGAATTCAACATTCCCAGATCCACTGTGTCAAGAGTGTGCCGAGAGTATGAAATTTCAGGCATAACATCCCACCATGGACAGCGCAGTGGTCGACCGCCTGCACTTAACGACCGAGACCGGCGACGTCTGCAAAGAGTCGTAAATTCTAACAGACAAGCAACACTGCGTCAAATAACCGCAGAAATCAATGTGGGACGTACAAGGGACTTGTCTGTTAGAACTGTGCGGAGAAATTTGGCTTTCTTGGGATATTTCAGCAGAAGACCGACTCGAGTGCCTTTACTGGCAGAACGACATCGCTTGCAGCGACTCTCGTGGACGCGTGAGCATATCGGTTGGTCCCTAGATGAATGGAAAACCGTGGCCTGGTCCGATGAGTCACGATTTCAGTTGGTAAGAGCTCATGGTAGGGTTCGAGTGTGGCGGAGACCCCACCAAGCCATGGACCCAAACTGTCAGCAAGGCACTGTTCAAGCTGGTGGTGGCTCCGTAATGGTGTGGGCTGTTTTTTCATGGCATGCGCTTGGTCCTCTGGTGCGACTGGACCGAACATTGACTGGAAATGCTTATGTTCAGCTACTTGGAGATCACTTGCAGCCATTCATGGACTTCATGTACCCAAACAACGATGGGATTTTTATGGATGACAATGCGCCATGTCACCGGACCACAAGTGTTCGCGATTGGTTTGAAGAACATTCTGGACAATTCCAACGAATGATCTGGCCACCTAGATCGCCCGACATGAATCCCATCGAGCATTTATGGGACATCATCGAGAGGTCTGTTCGTGCCCAAAATCCTGCGCCATCAACGCTTTCACAATTATGGACGTCTATCGAGACAGCATGGCTCAATATTCCTGCAGAAGACTTCCAACGACTTGTTGAGTCCATGCCACGTCGAGTTGCTGCACTTCGCCGGGCGAAAGGAGGGCCGACACGATATTAAGAGGTATCCCATGACTTTTGTCACTTCAGTGTATGTATATAAATATACACATTTGTTTACATTTGCAATTATATTGAAACTACTCAAAAGTGGAATTTTCGACACTCCTTTATGAGTGAATGAAAGGATTCCTGCTTATTTTTAAAAACACCATATATTTCTCGATTAGCAAAAACCACGTCTGAAACCCTTGAAAAAACTCCTCAACAAACTCAAGTCTCAAATATGCATTGTATGGCGTGTGTTGTATTGCATTGTACATGCATTGTATAACATGTATTGTATTGTACTGTACATGTATTGTATTGTACTGTACATGTATTGCGTGGCATGTGTTGTATTGTATTTTACATGCATTGTATGACACGTATTGTATTGTATTGTACATGTCTTGTATGACATATTGTACAACAATTTTACGGAGATGTGACACTGCAGTAAGGGAATGTTCATCATCTCACAAACAAAAATATATAATGAACTTCTTAAAATTAAGAATTTTATTCCCCATTTTTTTAAGACTTTTTATGTTTGCTTATGTCATTTGTGTATGTGCCGCTTGTGTAAATGAATTGCTATTTGAAAAAAGTTCATTTTGTATACGCTGTGTCATGCTTTAAAATTTGTCATGTCAATTCTGACACACCCTATATAGCAATGTTACAACTATCAAAAAACGAATCACAACAATTAGGATTGCCACTTCAAAAACTCAATCTACGCTCTTAGACTGATGGTCGAGTGGCTAGAGCTCTGGCTCTCGTCAACACAGGCTTCGGATTCGAATCTGGGAAGTGTCATGGACGTTTGTAGTGGTTCGAAATCTACTTTAAACCGTAGGTCCCGGTCTAATTAGTCCTGATATGCAAAAAAAAATGACCATACAGCGACTAGCCAGACTAAATCAATCTGCATTATCTGTATTTTATTTTAGATTGATTAATATATAAAAATAATATAATTGATTAATATATAAAAATAATATAATTGATTAATATATATAAATAATATAATTTATTAATATATTTATTTATTATTGCAAATAAGTAATGTTTATAAATGATTTTAATAATTTTTCTAATTTAAAATTACAAAAGTTATTAAAAATAGAGATAATCAAATGAAACAAAAAGTTAAATCGGTAAGTGTTAACAAAATGTTTTTTAAATTTAGATATTTTTCGCATGCAAACAAGCATTAAAAGTCGATTAATATGTGCTTTTATAAATTTAGTTTTATTTCTCATCTATGTGCAAAGCTTCAAGCATAAATGTAAATAATGTTTTTTTTACCATGTTTCATAAGGAGGGAAGTTCATGTGTTTTAAATATAAAAGATTTCATATGCTCCAAATAAACCACGCCCTTAAATTAAATTATTCTTGTATAAAACAAACTTACTTGAATATATCAATCAAGAATATAAGATGTATGGATATCAAACAGGTAAAAAAGAAAGATTTTTATCAGATATTATTAAAAAGGAGTTCCAAAAGGATTTATACATTTTTTATAATATCTAATTCTGGATTAATAATACATTTCCAACAACTTAAATTATATAAAAAAAAAATGCGTGAATTTTTTTTTTCTGCTGAATTTTTCAAACGTAACGAAGTTTACTTTTAAGATTATTTTGTATAACTTCCACAAAAAAAAAAATTGAAAAAGGAAATAATCAGAATTATTTCAATTAATAAGAAAAAATTTCTTTCACAAGCAATAAATTTTACAATTATACGTTTGCTTTATTCATCAAGCAGGAGATTCAAACT